CAGCTCCCTTGGCGTGGGGCCGCCGGGCGCCGCCGGCCGAGGACGGCCAGCCCCGGGGTAACCGCTGAGGCGAAAGGTGGTCGCCTCGGGCCGAGCGGGCGGGGGGCTGCCTCAGGGCCGCGCCGCCGGGCGGCGCCAGCAGAGTGACCATTGGGCACGTCTGCCGGCGCCAGAGAGCCCAGACTGAGAGCGCCCACCTCGTAGACGGGGCTCGGAGGCCTTTCCTGGGCCGGCTGAGGGGTCGGGGACGCGGGCGGCGTCTGCTTCTGGGCGCTGGCTCGCTCCTGAAGACAGACGCGGCGATGAGCGGGGGCCACACCGGGCCTGAGGCTCCCACAGATTGTGGGGGCCAAGGTGCTCTGAGTGGCGGTCACAGTCAAGCACTCCCAGGAGGGACCCACACTGGGGCGGCCCCTGTGCCGTTTCTGGGTGCCAACCCGTCTCCCCCAGACCTCACCAAGGGGCTGAGGCGACAAGGTCTGGGGCTGTGAGCGGGGGCTCCTGCTGAAAATGGGGTGAACTTGCTCTGGGGGCAGGAAGGGAACATGGCGGGCAGAGTAATGGCCCCAGCGTGTGGACGGCCACTCCCCAAAGCCACAGACTCCGCCTACCTGCGGCGGGAAGGATGGCGGGGTGGCAGTGCAGGGCTGAGGCGGGAGGGAGGGCACGGCCAGGCCCAGCACAGCCCGCTCGGCGGCCGGGACAGACCTGGCCACAGGGACGCCCCTGGATCTCAGGGGAGCCCCACTGCGCACCAGACCCCTGTGCGCCACCTCCAGACGCCACGCCTGGGCCCTGAGGCCACCGGCTGGCCAGGGCGGCAGGACCGGCGGAAAGCAGAGCCAGACCCCCAGCCTAGGAGGAGGCCAGGGTGGGCGTGGAGGACACCCCTCCGCTCCCTGCCAAGCCCCATTCCACTCCAGGGCGCAGAGGCAGGCGTCCAGGGCCCTCCGGGCCCTGGCCGGGGCACAGAGGCAGACGGCACATCGGTGCCCAGCTCCCGGAGGCCCGGACGGGCCGGCGCAGGCGGGCACTGAGTGGCCGCTCGGAGTGGCCGCACGGGCTCGCAGAGGCCGGAGGCAGGGCCTGGGCGGGGCCACTCACCGCCAGCTGCCGCCGGGCCTCCTCCTGCTCCTGCCTCTCCTTGGCCATGCGCTGTGCCCGCTCCGCTTCCGCCTTGCGCCTGTCCTCCTGCGCCTGCTCCTTCGCCAGGTTCTCGAAGTTGGCCCGGATGCTGCTGGCCTTGCTGTTTGCTGCGGAGGGCAGGAGCTTCAGATGGGGGACACATAGCGTCTGCCCAAGACAAAGCCACGCGGGGCCAGACCCTCGCTTGGGCCCAGCCCACCAGACCGGCCAGAGGGACTGGGGCCCTACCCACGGTCGGCTCTGCTACCCCCCAGGGAACCCTGTAACCGCCCTCCCTAGGGGGGCGGCGAGCGTGGGGCACGCCCTCCCACACCCCTGGGGGACGGGCCCTGGGCTACGCGGCAGGTGTCACTGACCGGGAGCCAGGACGGCGCTGGGCAGGCCACAGTGGGCAGGGGGCTTGCCCACAGCTCGCTGGCTGTGCTCAGGGGACAGCCGTGGGCGCGCCCGCCGGGACCTGGCAGACACTTGCTCTGTCCACACAAGCCACGCCCGCCACGGCAAGAACAGCTGGGCACTGGCCTCCACGGGACGACTAAGTTCTAGCCGTCAGAACATGGAGCCCGCGCGCCCACCGCAGCTCTGCCGGACACCAGCAGGACCGAGGGGGCAGCCAAGGGGGCTCTTGGCCGTGGGTGATGCCGCTGTGGTTTGGTGACCTGGCATTCTTCGACGGCCCGTCGCCAGCCGAGGCCTCCGGCCGGCCCAGCCCGCTCGCAAGGTGGGCTGCGGCCGAGGAGACCGCTGCGCCAGGACGCACGGGCTGCCGCAGCACTGCCCGCCTGGGCCGCCTCGGCCGCAGCCCCCACCGGTGGGGCCAGCGTGCTCCCACGGGACGGCAGGTGCCACGCGCCCCCTCCGCACTGCTGCTTCGAAATCGCATCTTCCCGCAGAAAACATGTCACGCGTGACACTGATCCCTTGTGCTCAGTTTCCAACAGAGACCCGGACGCGCACCCCGCGTGGTCAAGGACCCGTGGGTGTTGGTGACCCCCAGTGGTGTGCAAGGCCCTGAGGCCTCCAGGGTGGCGCCCGAGGGGGACGCACTACGCCCAGGCTCCGTCACCTCGACTCGAGGCCTGCGACGGAGGCAGCCTCAGCACCCAGCGGCCCCTGGACGCCCGGCACGCGGGCAGCCGGGGACAGGAGGGAGGAGCACGCCTCCTTGGTCAGAGTCTGGGGCCCGGCACAGCCCCATGCCGCACTCCAAGAGCCGCAGAGAGCTGTGGGCAGTGTGGAACCTTCCAGAACCTATCCCCTGCAGTGAGGAGGGCCCACGCAGCTGCATGGTCGCCCCATCTCTGCACCCCCAAACAGACCCCTGCAGCCCGAAAGCAGCAACGTGTTCCGACAGGAGCCTCCGGGCCTCTGACCTGCCACCGAGGGCGTCGTCCACGTCCCCAGAGACGCTGCCACCCCCGCCCCTGCCCCTCCACACCGGCTCAGTGCTCCCAGCGGTCCGCCCCCTCGGCGCTCTCTGGGGGAAATGCGCGGGCAGAACCTCCCCGGGAAGCCACGGGGTCGGGGTGGGACCCACCTGCCTCGACAGGGACTGTCCTCTGGTAGCTGGAGGCCACCTTGCCGCCGTCCTCAAAGGTGGCTGCGTTCTGCAGAGGTGGCGGGAGCTCAGCCGGCGCTTCTGTGGGCCTCGTGCGGCCGCACGCCTGCTGGCGCCCAGCATCCACGCGTGGTGGGCAGAGGCTCAGGCGTGGCCATCCCGGCTGGGCCCTCCCCCAGACCACGCCGGCCCACTGCTGGCGAGAGCTAGTTCGCCGGCGGCCGGCCGTGCTGACAGGCCTCCTCCACTGGCCACCTGGCCGCTCAGGACTGACCCTTGAGGCCTGGAGCCCTCGCAGCAGCTTGGCCAGAGGCGCCAGCGCCGAGCGCCCGTGCAGCAGCGCCAGGGGGCCGCAGCCGGTGCTTGGCAACCTCCGCTGAGCACGAGCGCTTCATCTCAGACAGCCTCCGCGTGAGGCGCCCCTGGTGGCCCAGGGCCCAGGCGGCCGCTGGCGTGGGGGCCTGGCCGCTGGCTGGCTTGGCCTGGGACCCGAGCACAGGGTGGACAGGGCAGCCGGGAGGCTGGCGGCCACGCACCAAGCAGACCCAGCTCTGGGCCTCGCGCACGAGCGTGGCAGGGAGACTTGCCTTGTCCATGCGGTCCTTCTGCACCCCGTATTTCCCGCCGAACCCTTTGGAGTAGTCTGAAAAGCAGCAGCACAGGACAGTTAGCCCCAGGAGGGGGCCCAGAGCCGCAGGCATGCACACCGGCGCCCACCAGGACGGGGTGAGCCAGCGCCGCCTGAGGTGCGTCTCGGCTAGCAAGCAGGTGGGCGACCCCACCGGTGCAGGCACGGGGCTGTGTGGGAAGTGGGTGCGGGCAGCAGGCAGGGCCGGTGCAGGGCGGGGGTGGCAGGCAGGCAGGGAGAGCGGGGCAGGGCCCGCGGGCGG